TCCTCTTACATTTTTTAGATGAATTTAAATGCTAAAAAGATTATGTTTTGCATAATATACCTGACCAAAAGCAATGATTTTTGATAATTGAGTAATGAGTAATCATAGTGCAACATATGTTACATTATTTAGTAGCGTACACAAAAATCTTTCAAGGGGGGGTCTAAGGTCAATAGCCTACCTTTCTCATATCATATCTCAATGCGACGCCAAACGTATTCTTTTTATTTGGGAACAAAAAACCGTAAAAAATAAATGATTAAATTAATAATTAGCATTAATTAATAAAATAAATTGTTAATTACAAATACTTAATTAAATTTTACATATTATACATATAGGATTATCAGCAAACAAAAAAAAATTCAAGGACAATGAGGGGGGGACCCGTGGACACCCCCTTGTGTGCGCCACTGACATCATTTCATAACCCCGGAACCGTCGAATCAGTCTACTTTTTCATGCACTGTAATTTCGGTAGAAGATTTTTTTTTAAAAATATAATATTAAAGAAGCTGTTAAATGTGTACTTGATCTGTTTTTCTTGTAACTATTTAACTATTTAGTTGGTGTCCTCTTATTGCAATAAATGTTAACAAGTACTAAAATACCTGTTTTTCTGATACAAAAACAGGTATTTTAGTACTGAGCTACGGTTATTCTACAGTATTAAAGCTGGTTATTTAAACTTCATTCCTCTTGTGGCGATATTTAACATAAAGATTAATTTTAATTTTATCTCCCCCTTGATCTGTATACCAGACAACATCCTTTTTGCATAGTTAGATTTTTAAATTAAAAAAAAAAACTTCTATTTTCCCTAATACACATGTTGTTTCACACGCACACAGTTGCATATATATATAAATAGTCGCTAATTTTCTAATAAATACAGATTCATTAGACAAAATAAACACCAACCAATTATTCATTGGATTTACAAATATTCGACAGACTTTAATTATTCACACTATCTGCATGATTACGAAATTAATAAAAAAATAAATGATTTTTTTTGTTTGAAAAAAAAACCCTTTTTTGATTTTTTTTCTGTAGCAACTTTGATATTTAAATCCTTCAAAATCTGTCGCGTATTTACAGACGAATAAGCACGAATAAAAATAATAAAAAAAGCATTTATACCTTACTTACATATTTGAAATGTATTTTTTTCAAATGATTGCTAGTAACGCAATAAGCTTGTCAAATACTTTTTGATATCTTATTCTAAAGCCATCAATATTTCATACTTTTCTTTTTCTCGTTTCTGTGGTGATTGATGGATTATTTATGCAAATTTCTACAAAGTTTGCCAGGAGGTTTGATATAAAATGCATTTTGTTATAAAGTTAATGAAATTTCGATTTGCTTGGTCAGACCCAGACATTAAATCAGACTGAGTTGTAATTTCCTGTAACTTTTCTTTAATCTCATTGTAAATATTTTTTTACCTTAATTGTGTGTGCGAACATTAACTTTACATTAATTTCGGTAAATATTCGGTCATTTGCCGATTGTTATTTCTAAGATCCTGTGAATTTTATTTTTTAGTATTATACAATACTTCAAAATAATTCAATAAAAAATAATAGAAAGTAAAACTACAAAATCGAGTTGAGTGAAAATCCTTTCATACACGAGGGCTTTTGGCGACGGACCACGTAATTTTGAACCATTTTGGACGACACCTGAGCTGGCATGGGAGGACGTTTCAGCTCTCGATTTGACGTGCATACATGGCGGGTCTTTACAATCGCTCTTGCCTGCCATGTTGTTTGACCGCAGCCCCTACTACAAAATCGATCATAAATTTTAATGAATACATTCTGCTCTGTGTTTGAGAAATAATAACGACGAATATATAACCAATTCTACTACTTTCTGTCCTCTCTCTCTCCCCTGTCTCTCTCTTTCCCTCTCTATCTCCATCCCTCCCTTACTCTATATTATTTTTAAAAGAACTGAAATTCGCAGCCATGTTTATAAATTATTTATTTTTTTATAAAACTGAGATAGAATTTTTACGCAGTAGCATAATTTAAAAAAATACTCGCAGTTTTTCTAAGTAATTTGTTTTCAAAAGGGACTTAAAAAAAACAAGCCTGTGAAAATATTCCATAATTGGCTTAGAGAGGAAAAATTGATGGTAGTATGTTTTAAAAACAGTTCACTTCATGTTCAGAGACATTTTTTTTAAAAATTTAGCTTTTTTCCTTTATTTAATACAATAAGTTTGTCAACCAAATAACTGTAATCTCACATATGAGTATTAAACGAGCAACAAAAGAATAAAAAATAGAATAATTTTAGTTATAGGTTTTTAGAATTTGTTTATTAAGACAGAAATTCTGGTAATGAACTGAAAAATATTTTTAAATAACAGAATAAAAGTATGAAAACATGCTAAAGCAAGATAGACATATAAGCAATTGTAATGCAAATTATGTATAAAATAAAAAAAGTAAATAACTGCGCATTTGAAGAGGTAAATTGTGATGTAAATTTATTTTTCAAAAAGAAATGTTAGAAAACTCGATTGTTAAAAAATTTCTCTTTTATAAATAACTCCTCATTATTAATCGTATTTTTCAATAGTTGCTTTTTCTACCGAACTCCAATATTCACCTAATCGAATTACATTTTCATGCTAAAATATAGCTTTTCTAAATTATTCACAACAAACCTACACAGATTCCATCTAAGCCAAAAGAGCATTATCTATGATTTGTTAATAATAAAACCGATTCATATATATTTGCGGTCACGTATTTGATGTCTCAAATACAGTTGTACCACAGCAATGTCATTGAATATTTGTATTCTCGTATAAATGAAGTTCTAACTTTGGTGGAACATTTGGTTTGATTATTGTAACTTTTCAACCAATAATTGATGATATATACTTATCATTAAACCCAAGCTGGGATGGTTCCTACTAATTACACTTAATAATTGATTCATATTTTGAACTGTTTAGGGCGAGCGAGTTAAATATCTATAGCTATTTCCCGATCGTAATGATGTATTATAACGCAACCAGAACACAAAACAATGCTATTCTTCCAAAACTTAATTCAGAGAAGGATTTTATTAGCCTCGTGATGCATTTCTTTTTATTCGTTATGGTGTTGAATGCCAATAACATGAATGACAGCTAGGAATAATGCCATCAAAGTCAGTTGACAGATCTTAATGATGTATCTCCGTAGGTCCATGTCTTTTGCGAGGCAGAAGTTGTTTCGCTAGAGAGAGTTTTGGTGTCTCAATATTCCATGAAGACGACGGTGTTTGGGAAAAGCTATAAAATTACATCAAGCATTTTTAATTGTTCGCAGCAGGTGTGAGAAAATTTAAATGAAATAATAAATACAGAAACATGTGATAAAATGCTCTGTTAGTTTGTTTTGAAACTGCAGGTATCAGGTTTTAACAGCTACTCACAGTAGGGTATGTAACTGTCTAGAATTCTTTTTTCTGTTTAATAGCAGCTGTCAATCACTTTGGGAACAACCGTTCAGAAACTGAAAACTTGAAAATTATTTTTGTTTCATGTTGCATTTAAATGAAGGGTTTGAATTGTTATGTGATTCATTATAAAAGTCTGAGAAAATAAATTTAGAATGAAAAGTAGTTTAAAGAATTAAATTTCACGCATGCACACACACGCATGCTAATCATATTAAAAGTAGATAGGTTTATGAAATTCAGTTGAATCTCATAAGCTATCTATTTATAAGTACAGTTATGATACATGTAATACTCCTATGTTTCAGCGTATAAAACAGACACAATTTGAGGGGGATTTAATCTTTTGAATGTTTTTAATCAACATTATTATTCCGATGAGTGGATGTAATAATTCCGTAAAATAACAGGAGACATTCAAGAGGTGTAATATGTCGTCGGATGCATGTATTTTTGTTGATAATTTGACAAATTAAGTATTTATGTAAAAATTACACAATGTAATTTAATACTCCTGTACATTAAAAAGCTCGAATTAGGATAACTAATTTATTTTAAAATAGTATTGAATTTATTTTTTAATTTGTAGGCATGTTTTTATATAATTAACCATTTTTTTGAAAACTTCACACACACACACAATTCATTATTTAAAGAAAAAAAATCAAAGAAGAGTTTCAGAAAAAAATTTATTTACTCAAACTTAAAATCCTCATAGTGAAAAAAATTACATAAATATTCTTAAATTTATATTTATATCTCACTTATTACCAAGTTAAATATAAATATAAAACATTATAAAATTTTCTGAACCTACAAATGTAGAAGAATTTTAATATTTATACATAGAAAAGATTTCGGTTGTGAGGTAGAACTTAGCAAATTAAGAAATGAGACACAAATAAAAAGTTTATGTAAGAAGATATTTTTTCTTTAGCTTTCTTCAAAATCCTGTAAAACATTCAATTTAAAGTACTAAAACTAAAAAATAAGTGTCCAAACGATTAATAGTATTTCATTCAAACATCGATGCCATTATAAAAAATTAGTTTTCTTTAATAATGTTTAGGTATTCTTTTGTTTTGTTTCAGCAGAAATGTTTATTTCTAGTTATTTTCCAAGCACTGTGATGCTATTGAAGTAATCACTTGCATCGGGATAAAATTTGCTTACATTTTTGTTTTTATCGTACCGTATAACATTTTGGACTATTTTCTAGCATTTAAATAGCATAATACAGTATATAAAGATCTACCTAACAAGTAATATAAAAAATTTAAAAGACAATTCCTACATAAGTTAACAATTAAAAAACTTATTTTAGTTACTTTTTATTAAATAATTACAATTAATATAAATATGTATACACATATAACAGAATCACAATAATAAGTCGTAAAATAGGAATCAATTATCCATTTTCCTTTCTGTATATGATGTTGGACTGTTATTTTTGTTTGTTACTATTTATTCATTAATTAAATTTAATTATTCCAATAAAACAGTATAGTAAAACGATATCACATTTTCAGAAATTAGGTGGGATTCGAACCCACTACCTTTAGATTAGAAGTCAATCACGCTATCCATTACGCTACAGGGATACAGCGAGCGGTTTTCCTTTTTTATGTATGGTGTTGGGCTATTATTTTTGTTTCTTACTAATTATTCATTAATTAATGAATTAATATTTGAAAAAACGGTATTTACATCAAATATCATCCATTACAAATTCAAAAAAATGTCTTTGAACTTGAATGGATGAATAAAAAGTATTTTATTAACGATTAAAAATTTGAATAAGATATATATATATATATATATATATATATATATATATATATATATATATATATATATATAAGGAGAGTGTGAACTATAATAGTAGAAACTGTAAAAAAACGGCAGGGCATAAATTAAAGAAACGATGTGTTCAGGTGTATATAAAACTGCCCGTAGTCTTTTGTAAAATTGAATCTGTTGTTAAAAGCTACGAAAATTATTCGTTTCTGATGAAAAATAACATACGAAGACTATTTCGATTGAAATTTCAATTTGCTACCAAGCACCTTTCCATTCCGAGGTAGCAACAAAAACGGAATCTCTTGTCAGTGGGGGTAGGATCTCCGAGCATCTAAACATCCAATTACGATTAGCATTCACAATTTTTTCTATCATTTAATTCCAATTCTCTTCCCACTAATAACAAGTCGTGACAACATCCTTGACAAGTTGCTGACAACTGTATTACGATGGTCGTCACTTTTGCACGCGTGTCGTCCAGTAGTTGAGGCGAGACACTTAATCATTTCCCCTCTTCACTTTTTGCATAGTTCTCTTTTTTATTTCTTTTCCTTTTTTCTCTTCTTTTTCTTTGTTTCACAGTTATCTCATCAGCAAAGCTTTCTGTCATTATGAAACGATAAAATTGGTTTGCAATAACGCGCAACACTCCTTTGACAAGGATGAATGCTAGTGAAATAAAAGAAATAATAAAAAAGGTTTCCCGTTATATAAAGATGTTTGTTCTTGGAACTTCTTTAGTCGTCCTGTAGAAATGATTTTAAAAAAAATTGGAACATTTGGATAAAAACGTGTTTTGGTGCTTTTATATATAATACTTAAAAGCCAACTTAAGACTAAAATTCTCCGAATTAGATACAAACTCATAACATAAATTGGTTTTCAGCATTAAAAATGGAATGATGGTAATTTGCTTTTTAGTAAAAAGAGAGAAAAATTATTTTTATAATAGATTTTTATTGTGAGAATAGTATTACGGCATTCCCCTTTTTATAATACGTATTGTATAGGATTATTTGTTAAAGCAACATATCTACTTGAAATTTAATTTATTTAAACTCTTTTACTCTGTGGGGCTAACGTCAAGTACAAATGCTGATAAAAAAAATAGAGTAACTATTCTGTGTGCGTAAAGTATAGTTACTTATCCGTTCCATAAAAATTCCTAAAATGAAAGAAGTTTGGATTTTATTATGTTTTTTTTTAAATTTTTATTTCGATGGATATCGCATTTGTGCTACGTAATGGGATCTTTGAAGCGTACTTGGGTATTCTGAATCTCAGTCAATGATGAGATTTTGAATAAGACGTTTAAATTCATATCTAATTAAAACAAAATTATTCTGTGTATAACTTGCAACATGAAAGAAATCATTCTGACAATATAATTTAGCACTGTTAAGGTTAATTATAAAGGCTACTTGTGTAATATGGTATTCATATATTCAATAAGTTTGCCAAGCTTTTTAAAAAGCAAAATGCATAGCAAATTAATATTATTTGAATTGGATTTCTAACCATTTTGAAACGTGTAACATTTTCTGAAGAAATGTAATAATTATTAGATAGCTTTTATCTGTTTTTTTGCATTTGTGCAATTTATTTGTAAACTTAGGAAAAAAGAGGCGAATACAGGAACTGTTACAATGCAAAATAATGATAATTCTAAGAATTTTATTGATTTATCAAAACAATTTTAGAAATCTAAAATTACATTTAATAGTTCAGAAAATTTTTTAAAAAATGAATTTATTTTAGAACAATTAAAAGTATTACAAATAAATTTTTTAAGGAATCTCTCGTTCAAATTACTAAATATGAAATTGCTCATGTAAAAAGAACAGTTGAAAGATTTGAAAATCCTAGTTTTTAATCAAGAAAAAGCCCTATTTAAGTATTTTTTTAAATAAAAATCAACAACTATTTCTACAGCTTCATTGTTTTTCATTAACATTACAGGATCAATTGTTAAAGAAAATAAAGTTGTTAGGTATTCTTTTCTGACTAAGTTTGCACTTCTTCATCAAGTAAAAACGTAGTAAAGTAGCTTACGTATTATCACAATCTATTGGCGACATTATATGAAATGAAGCACATGGTTACCAATTCAGCGCGTATGACACATAGGAAATTGTAGGTGTCAACTTGGCGAGTTATCAATAGAGTTGGTGATTGTTGCGATAATACCTAAGTACCGTAAAAATCAGTCTTTCATTACATTAAATTTATTACTTCAGAATTTTATAAGCATTAAAAAGAATTTCTTAAATTTCTCTTGAGTGAATTTAACAGATAATAATAATGATTCTCTAACAATCCAAGACCTTTTTGGGGGCATTTAGCTTGCAGACTTATCATTATTACTTTAGCAATGTGCAAATGATTTCCTCTCGAATGCAGATTCTTTTAAATAGAAAAACCACAACAAGAGAAAGAAAGAGCAATATTGAATATACACTTTTACATCATTTTTATCATAAACACAAAACAGGAACAAGATTTCCTGAACAGAGCCATCACTGAGTTGGTACTCCTTGACCGTTAATTGAAAACTCAAACTTCAACGGTCCAATTCACACCTACATTAGCCGATCAAAAAATCTAATTTGTTGTTTGGTATCCCCTTTCCTTTTGAGATAAGCCTGACAATGTCCATTGTCTTTATCCAAACGACAGGATGTTTTGAGTTCAATTCCACTGTCGACGAAGTGAGCGGAATACCAATTTTTATCGAGTGTCATCTTGCTTTTATGAGTGTGTAGTACTGGCAGGGCGTCCTATTTAAAGGTCTGTTCCCGCCATTGATTAGAAATTTAATTAGTTTTGATAAAAGGAGCAGGCAGAATACGTTAGCCCTGATGCGTGACTAAAAGATAGGAACTGACACAAATGGATGATAAAAAGAAATGCACCGCTCACTTTGGATTGAATTGGATTTGAATATAGAAGAAATATAAATATTAATAGTATCACATAATATATTAAAGATAAATGTACTTCATTTCCTTAAAATTTAGGTACTATTGGTTTATGCAATGAAGATGATTCATAGAAAATTACAGAACATTTCTCCAAAAACGTCAACCTTGTATTTTAAGTATTCGAAAATAATTTACATTCTCTCCATAAAGGCATGAAAAAAGGTATTACCTTTTGCAAAAAAGGATTGCATTACATAAGTTCACTAAGAAGGAGGTATAGTTGAGAAGGAGGTTTACATAGAAGAAGGTATGTCAGAAATGCATCTAAAAATTTAGAAAAGAATTATCTATTTCAACAGATAATCTAGCAAGAGATACAATAAATAATGATAATAATGACGGCAATAATCACGAATTCGATAAAAAACACCCAAGTTTTTATAATAAAAGCATGGAAAAACAAAAATAGGTGCGAGCTAATTTTCTTTTTAAAGTGGTTTTTCTTTAATAACCCTTTCGTGAGCTTAAGGGTTTTGACTTTCTTTTCCTATGCTTAAATTGAATCAATAGTGCACTAAAGAGTTACAACAGTTTTGAGTGACAGCATTCCCGCTTCTGACCAGACCATGTTTAAATAGATATGATGACGTTTATATAAAATGGCATTGTGTTCATCACACACTCTGCGCTTTCCAGTGTGGAAATTTTTTGGTCCCGTTTCATTGATTTGCAGTTGTTTCATTAATTTTGATAATCCCCCTTTTCAATAATTTCAGATTATCTGCATCTCTCCAGATCCTAAGTTGCGCTTATATTACAGGTTATATTGGTCCTATTATCTGAATGAAATAGGATAAAATATTATTTATATGTGTCTTCACCAAAAATAGTAGTATTTTAATGTAAAATATTCCTTTTGAAATTAATTTCTGAAATTTTCGTATCACAAATATTAATAATCTTAATGCTAATCCATTCAGGGTTTTATGTAATAAAGGAATAATGAGGAACAGTATTTTAATATGAAGAAGCTTGGATCGTCGCGGAGAAAATTTATTCTTTCTTTTAAAGGGAGAAATGGAGAAAAAAAATACTGTCAGACCTAAATCCCGGAAAAAAGTTTGGAAAATATGGAAAATTTGTTACATAGAAGTTAATCTTTTAATGCGCCTTATAAAGCAAATTTTAAATTCATAAACACTATATATTAAAAACGTAATTAATCACAATTTTTTTAAAATTAATATATGTTTATTTTATTTATCTTACCCCTCAAAAAAAGAAAGAAAGAAAAACTGCAAGAAAAGAAGAAAAAAGAATATCGAAGGATTCATTGTATTTTCAATAGTAAGGAAATGATTTTATTCTAAAATTAATGAATTTTGAGGACATTTTATAATTTTAAGCATATAAGGGACATTAAACTTACATTATTTTATAATTTGAACACGGGGACACGAGACAACTCCATTGAGGGTAAAAGAGGATATCGAAGGTGTTTCTAGTGAACTGGGCAATGGGGTTTAAAAGTTGTACTTCTTGGAGGAAACGTCCAGAACTCTATTGCTCTCGGTAAGTTAGGATCTAATAAAACCAGTTCAAGATTTATGACCACCATAAAATGTGTTTAAGAGAGAATAACTTGAAACTTTTTCAGAAATACTTTTAAAAAAAAAGGGAGAATAAAAATTGAATCACAAAAGAAAACGTTCATTATATAGAAAATTCACTTCGCTATAGAGAGGTTATTTTACAAAGAAAATCATGAAATATTCAAGGTTCCAGGAAAAAGTTGGCTATATAGAATAATTCGTAATATAGGGGTTCTTTATATAGAGGTTCGACTGTATTTTATAAGGAATCAATTAAATTTCA